TGACAAAGAGACCCTGCAAGCCTCTGTGGTGGATAGTGATACAATTGATACAAGTGATACAGGTGAGGGCCAATAATCTGCCCTCTGCCTCGGAACCAACCCCCCATCCCCGTGTGCCCAGCCATCTTTTCTACTAATGCAAGTGTTAAAAAACCTAATATTATTGATATTTCTCTTAATTATTAATTGTGTGTGCATACCATCATAAAGTTAAGATAAAATTTTTACTACAACATAGTTGTGTGTCGTCAAAAGTGGAGTTTGGGGGTCGGGCCAGTCTCTATTGGAATTAATCCCATATGTTCTGTTGTTCACTTAACGCTGCACCCTGTGTCTAATTGACCCAGCAAGGGAGAATGTATATATATATATATATATATATATATATATATATATATATATATATATATATATATATATATATATATATATATATATATATATATATATATATATATATATGTATATATATATATATATATATATATATATATATATATATATATATATATATATATATATATATATATATATATATATATACTGTATATATATATATATATATATATATATATATATATATATATATATATATATATATATATATATATATATATATATATATATATATATATATATATATATATATATATATAGTCATGTGCCGGTTAACGTCCGACTGAACAACGTCCGATCGCATATACGTCCGTGCCCCCCTCCCCCTAAAAAAAAAACGTGACGCCTGCTGGACCACCACTTCACGACCCCCTGACGGAGACACAATGATCCTCCCCTTACTGGTCAGATATTATGTGTTAAAGGAATATCCTTCCTTAGTTAGGCTTTTTTTTAAGCATTTACCTACAGGTGAAATGTTAACCTACATCTATTGAGGATAAAATCTTTCACCTATAAATTGACAATAACACATTTGCTGTAATCAGACATATCTAGTTGCCTCAACAATTGCAATATATATATAATATATTTAATATATATAATATATATATATATATATATATATATATATATATATAAATATATATATATATATATATATATATATATATATATATATATATATATATATATATATATATATATATATATATATATATATATATATATGCAAGTAAATCACTGTAGGTGCGCGTGATCTAGGTATATGCTGATAACCACAAGGAAAGAAGAAAACACGAAGTTCCCAAGCGCTTTCGTGTAATTCACATCTTCAGGGGTGAGTACAGACTAGAGAGAGTAATACAAATCAAGGTGTATATATACAGAGGAGGGTGAGACCAGGTCCACAATGGTGAAGGTATTAGGTAATGACCTTACTAATCTTTAAATAGCACACAACGGTTGGTGGTCAGGTCAGATGGTCAAGTGACCCGGCCTTCTCACCTGATCACAAATCTTCTTAATTACAAAATTGTCCAGCTTGTACATGCCGTTACTCAAATTCATGTTGGTTGCTTCGGTATGTTTAATAAGACTAGATTCTATGATGTTCCTACTATCAATTGAATTACATGGTAATATTGAGGAGGCATTATCCCAGTCAATGCAATGCTTGTTATCCCTCAAATGAACAAACAGAGCATTGGATTCCTGGCCTGTCCTTACACTGTATTTGTGTTGTTTAATTCTAGTTGCAAGATCTTTACCTGTCTGGCCTAAGTAAAACATATTACATTCCTTGCAAGGAACTTTATAAATGCAACCAATTGTGTTGTTGGGGGAGTTCTTGATTAACATTTGTTTAACAGTGCATGAGTTTTTAAATGCCACATTGACGTTCCAGGTTTTTAGCTGTGCAGGAATGTGTGAGAAATTTTTGTGAAATGGTAATATTAAGATATATATATATATATATATATATATATATATATATATATATATATATATATATATATATATATATATATATATATATATATATATATATATATATATATCATGTAGATCCACAATGGAAATGTGTTTCTTAAAAATGTGTTTGATTGTAACTTTAACAAATTAAGAGTAAACATGTCTGCTCTCTCTCTCTCTCTCTCTCTAAATAGGAAGAGCGTGAATATTGGGTGACACATAATCAAGTCGTTACGTTACTCATACTGGTCTCATTTCCGTGTGGTCGTAACTTTTTAAACAAATCTATCCAGAGTATCATTGACATAGAATAACATAACTAATTGTATATGCGTTAGCCAATATTCTCACTCTTCTTTCTTTTATATCCTTATTACTACTGTATTTCATTCTTGACGTTGACATGTCAGAAGAAGAAATTCCTGACAATGCCATGATGTCAGTAACTACATAGAACAAGTTCGTTTTACCAGAAAAAGTACTGGAGAGGAGACCTGAATTATATACTGTATACTAACAGATTTGTTTACAAAAAGCTGGAGCTGGAAAATCAATCTGTTTTTATGAATGTCTATATTTTGTTGACTTATGACCATTTTAAACGTTTACATCACCCAGTTTATAAATTGAAACTGCCAAATCTATTAGCCTGAAATCTGTAAATTGCAATAAAGTTATTCTAAACCACATCGTGTGAAATATATAATAATAATAATAATAATAATAATAATTGACGGTTTATTGAAAAAGTTCTGCAGCCCGAAGGCTGAAAATATACATTGGACATAAATAACTTATTACATACATTGGTGGTTTAACAAAAGTCTTCATTACAGAAAGGTAAAGGAACATACAGTGAACATAAAGATTAATGTAGGTGTTGAACAGCAAACTCGTAGTGTAGTAACTCCCTCCCAGATGGTGTTAGGAGGAACTCACGTGGTGTAGTAGTTCCCTCACAGATGGTGTTATGAGGGGCCTCACGTGGTGTAGTAATTCCCTCACAGATGGTGTTATGAGGGGCCTCACGTGGTGTAGTAATTCCCTCACAGATGGTGTTAGGAGGGACCTCACGTGGTGTAGTAGTTCCCTCACAGATGGTGTTATGAGGGGCCTCACGTGGTGTAGTAATTCCCTCAAAGATGGTGTTATATGAGTGAGGTGTGGTCCCAGGCCTTCCTATCGTAGACGGATTAACACATCGCTGGTTGTTGTTGGGTCTCACGGGCCGTTATCACTGGGTACCTGGGACCTCACTGTGTGAAGGTTAACTTGGGTACGACTGTTACTGTTTAGTTGTTTTCACTGACTTAAGCACTGTTCACCTCTGGTTAACACTGGTTCCATTCCTTTCCTAAATGATGTAGTAACTTCTGGCGAGAACTTGTTGATATTCCGGTGGGGAGGAGGGTTCAGGGGAGGGAGTTGGTATGGGCCAACTTAACAGTTGACCTGGCTGCTCCGAGAGGAGCGCCGGGTACGTCTTGACCCTTCGGTGGTCAAGGATGTAGGATACTTGTAGTGCAATGTTTGTGTGATGGAATAACATAACTTATGTAATGAGATGCAACCATTTTAAAGCCTGCATTACATTTCCCTATTTCATTGCACTTTCCTACAAGATTTACATAATTTTTTTTGAAATCATAGATAAAGCTAAAATGCATGGTATATATACTAATAAGGGTATTATTTTCTTTACACACCATTCATTCCTACCACTAATCTATTATCATATTCGAATAAGACGTCTAATTATAAGATAATTTTCACCTATTACATTACCAGCGGAAATGTATAATAACGGAGATAGTTTTTCCAAAATATTTTCTATTTTCTTCCATTAACATCCCGCCATTATCGTCTGCCTCCCCTCCAACACTGCGTGTCTCCTGTGTCTCCTTCATAAATCATCCTGCGCATGCGCTGCTGTACACGTCACGCAGCCAATCAAAAGCCTTTTCAATTTTGAAACCAATTAAAATGTTTTTGGGTTTAATTCGCGGTATTTTTGGCCCAATCAAATTCGAGTATTCTTTTTGGTCTCTCATATTTTGAAATTCAAGTTCAGTTCCGACCATTAAAGTCTGCGATGGGTGTCACTTTAAGTATATGGAGCTGATTGCGAGTTTTTGGAAAAAAAACGAAGAAACTACAGTATAGCATTTTTTCAATCGCATGGTGTTCTTCCAACCTCAGTAAAGTGTACTAGGAGCAAAACTGAATGTAAATATCGCAAAGACCAACATATGTGGCGTTGTGTAAGAATCCCAGAATGCGACGACGAACAAGAACCAGGCCAATAAGGTAAGAAATAGGTGATTCCATCATATGGTGAGTCAGTTAAGTTAGGTTAGGTTAGGTTAGGTTTGGTTATTGTTTTTCTAGTGTTTTTTTATGTATTTTTTAGTCGCTTAAACACTTTTTTTTTCTCGGAAAACGCCAAACAAAAACATAAATTGCAAAAAAACCCCCGGCTAATTTCCGCCAAAAAAAGAAGGTCATATTCGGTCTCAGCATACACAAATACACTAGAAAAATATATTTTTAACTTGCTAAAAGTGAACGGTGTGACAAGAAAAATTTACCCTAATAAGTATGGATTATCTCTTGAATTGGGTGTAAGTAATCTTGGGTATGACTTATCCTGTGAGTTGGGTGAGAGTTATCTTAGGTACGAATTGACTTTTTTGGGTACGAGATGACCCTAAATCTCTGTTGGGGTAGAAGGGGGTAATAACTAATAAGAAAAACCAGTCAATTTCCGACGTAAATGAAGGTCAGAACAAATCAAAACACAAAAATACACTAATAAAACATAGCTTTGACTTTCTAACAGAGTTGTGTGAACTGCTCTTTATTTACCATATCTTTTTTCTATTATTCGAGAAGAAACATGTATTCTTCTATATATGTTTTTTCCGAAAAATATTCCTAACAAGGCGAAATAGCAAGGAATTACATACCTACAATCTCGACCTTACAATTAGCACAAAAGCTTTAACAGTGGATGTCAAATAAACAAAATTGTTTTATAATTCCAAAATTTTAGTTCATTACTAAGGCTGAACAATAGATATAACACATAAACTAATATAATAAAGCACATTATGGACAAATACACATACCTAGTTGATGTACACGTGTTGCTGCCAGGCACAGCTGAGGCGTTTGACTTGGTCTGGTTGTTCACTTCTTCAGGAAGCTAAATTCTCTCGGGGATGATTACATAATGCAAATCTGAACAAAATCTGAAATATTATCAATGGCGGAGAGGATAAATAAAAATAATCTAAATCTAGACTGGAGAGAATGCATCATAATCAACACCATTATAAAATTGATTTTTATGCTTGATGTATGTTTTTCCTACTCCTAACTTAGGTATACTCTCAAGTTAATGAGATATCCCGTTTATGTATATGTGAGGTAATATAAAGACGGGCGTTCTGAGGTACAGTTATATGTAGGGTAGCTGTGGCGCCGGGTGTTACATGGAGGGTCTCTGAGTCAACACAGTGGTGGTGTGAGTGGCGGCAACAACAGTACTCTAGCTAAAACAAATATGACAACAAATCGACCAAGGGTTCAAGTTCTGTATCTTCCAGATGAAGAGAGTGACGAGCTGAAAATTACTCCGTTGTAAGAATAACTAGTGTTTATTATAACAAACTTATTAGAGCAGGCTCAGGTACATTTTGGAGCCAGTTCATGCCCAGAACCTGATGAACCACTGGTGTAAGGTCCCAGGTTATACCCCCTTAAAATATACCCGGTTTTCGGGAAATGCCACTGGCTTAAAAATATGGTACAGGATACAAGTACTGTACGGCGGGGTATGCCCATTTCGTCACCACGTTCATTACCATCAATATATACACGAAAGTAACTGTTGCTTGGGATAGAAAACAATAGAAAACTCTAAGACAATGTATTAACCACGAAAATATAAAGTAAAAACATTTTTTAATAAGCCTACAATCATTTCACTTAATAATCATTATATACACGAAAATAACTGTTGGTTGGGATAGAAAATAATAAAAAACACTAAGACAATATGTGAAAGATTAAAATTTAAAAAAATATATAAATATTATTCATATGCCTGCAATCATCTCACTTAAACAATATGTGAAAGATGCAACAGGCTATGTGGCCCGGTAATCTTTACCAATGTTTAGTCAAAACACCTAGTTTACAAAATTGGTTTACAAAATTATGCCTTGGCATAACAATACATTGGATCATGCAAGCATATCACCAAGACAATTTATTAAAGACGGAAATAAGAAAATAAAAACGTTATTACTCATGCAAGCATCTCACTTAAACAATATGTGAAAGACTAAAATTTACTCATGCAAGTTTGGTAGAAGACATGATTTTAGCTTGTGCTCGGCAACTGGTTGTAATTACAAATCAACCATTCAGGCTTCTCTGTGAAGAAGAGGGTAGAGGAGATTGTTCTTTGCTGCTCGGTGGTTTATGCGTTGGTGCCAAATCACCTTCATTTGTTCCATATTTTGTTTATTTACCAATGTTTTATTAATTTTCTTTATTAATAATTAATATTCATGTGTAATAATAACAATACTTGTCAAGTCGTTTGTATACATGTGTAATTTCTATTCGTGTAAAATAATAACTTACAATTTGTCACTAATACCAGCAATTGTTAGTGGTGACAAAACGGATTTGATATTGGTAACGAACCGGGTTGGTGATAAAACGGATCGGTGACGAAATGGGGTGTATCTTGTACGGCAGCCTAATGCGCATGTGTGGTGGGCAGACTATACAATGATAATTAATATGATGGCCTATTTTATGACTTCCCTATTTTAACCTAACTAAACTTAAACTAACCTACTCTATTACCTAACTTAACCTTTAACAACACAGTCCATCAATACGGCTGCCGTACCTGTATCCACTACATAAAAATACAGCGAAATTATAATACATATTTTTTGACATAGGTATTTTGGTAATACTGGTGCAGATGGGTAACACCAGAATGCATTGATCGATTTTGTTTGTTTTCCACAGATATTCTTTGGATGATAGTAGTAAAAATGATACAATGATATGCAGAACCTAATAGAACCTGACCTAGCCTACCAAAGAAACCTACCTAACCTTACCTAACTTCCTAGCCATTTTATGAACTGAAACAAACATACTGCATTAAGAAAGAAACCATTAAATTATAGTACTTATGTTATTACTGGATGGGTGGCAGTCAACACCTTTCCTGTAATCTGAATTTAATAGAATCATCTTAACTTAATTAGGATAAATTTAGGTAAAGAGATACAACATAAGAGGGTTGCTACTTTATCTATTGGATTATATCATCCAAAAATATCAAGGTACAGTGGCAGAACTCAATTGAACACATCTCTCCCCCCCCCAAAAAAAAAAAAAAAAAAATTCTGGTAAGATATTATTATTTTTTTCCCACCTCAGATTGCAGATAAGAGTAGGCCATATTTGTTGTGTTTAAAAATAATTTTTGGGATAACGGTTTTATTAAACCTGTTTTAAAAAAGAAAGCATTGTTATACATAAGCAATTTTGACATTAAATTGATGACATGTTATTTGTTGCAGGGGGTCTGGTCAAGAGGTTGGACGATCATGTCACTTCTTAGAATTCAAAGGCAAAAAAGTCTTGGTAAGTGCAGTAACTACACTGATCATCAGGCTTGCACATGTCTTCCTCCTTGTATTATTAATTCAGATCTCTGAGACTTCCTATTTGTTAATCATGTAAATATTTTCCCCTGTGGTGCAGGGTGACAGGTAATTATACATTTTTATTTTATTTGCTGTAGCAGCAGAATTTAAAAGAGTAATGTATGATAGTCGCCTCTAAGACCACTGTGAGTTGGATAGTTGGGTGTCTGGGCTGGGGTCTTTGCATCATCAAGGGCATCCTTGTTGACCTTTGCTCGGACCTGTTTGTCTCTTGGTAGGTAGAGGTACAGTAGCTAAACAACTATCTGTGCAGGTGGAGGTCAACAAGTTCCAAAATTTTACGTGTAACTAGTGACAGCCCTCATATACCAAAATTTATCATTCATGGTCTCATATTGTTTCCCACAAAGTATGCACACATAGTTGTTTTAGCTACTGTACATGATATGTGGGGTCCTGTATTACTAAATTAAAAATCTTTGGGTAAAAAAGAATAATATAAACAAATGGTCATGAGATGACTGGCCAGGCCTCTGAGTTTTCCTCTTCTGACCAACCTGGCTTGTTGATTATTTCAAGGAATGACAAGCCTATTCTCAACAAGGCAAAGAGAGGGTCTGTGGCAAGTACAAGCATTTTGTACTCCACCCAGAAGGTGGTATGTAAATCAGTCATGGACCTTGGTGTCTTCAAGATGTTTGATTAGATTGTGGCCACCTGTGAAAGCCAACCAAATATTTATAAACAGACTGATGGGCATCTCTTAGTGGAAGTTTTTCCATATGAGACAGTCAAAAGGTCCAAGTGTTTATGTCTTTCTCAGAGGCACCTATCTTCTGCTCTTGACATGAGACATTCAGTCAAAGTTGTGGTGCAATTCATGGACCAGACTTTGTACATTGCATAGAGGCAGACCTATTGGATGCCTTATGAACACAGCCCACGATCAAATTTGAGAGGGTGAAGAAGAGGATGGATGGAGTACTCTCCAACACCCATATTCCTCTTTGCCTGGTTCTGCTACCTATGCCAACAGTGTGTCTATATCAGCTACAGTATAGTGTCAGAGGAAGATAAGAATTTGCCGGAGTGTGTGTGTGTTTGTGTGTGTGTCCTGTGACCAGTAGTTTCATGATGGTAATGTGTGCAGTGGGCCACTCTGCTGCTTCTACTGCAGGGTGATCATGTTCCTTCTTTGAAGAAGTGTGTTCTATGCAAGTTTGAGAAGGAGTTACAACCATCAGAGCAAAGCAGTGGGTCAGCTTTGCTGAAGCAGAGGAAAAGGCCCTTCTACATTCTGGCTATGCAACCATCCTAGCTCACCACCCCATGGGAGCTAGGGAACCTCAACCCCTCAAGGCTAAGTCTTTGGTATTATTGAAGACCCTCCCTGCGCTGTCTGAGAATGGTGCATCCACTATGACGGATGCACTGCCACTCCAGTGGCTCCTGAACAAGCATCAATGAACAGTAGTGCTCTAGGGGAACCTGTAATAGTATTGGCAGGCAGTGATGCCCCAGCATCTCTGCCCACACTAAATGTCCCGACCTCCTTGAAGGCTGAAGGGACATAGAGGCTGGTAAAGAAGCTTTGAAGAGTCCAGTAACATCAGGACTCCCAATCATCATCTAAAATGCTGTAACCTCTTAAAGGGGCTACAAGTAAAGTAACAGGCTACGACCATGGTTCAGGATCCCTCTAAAAATAAGTCCCATCATAGTGTACAGAATATTCAGGCAATTTGGTAAAATGTTAACAAGTCTTTGGTTGAGGAAGGGGTTGAAATTAAGGTACAGTATTGTAAAAGAGCCAGGGAAAGGCAGAGACTGGGATATATGAGTGAAATTAAGATCTGACATCCCTCTGATAAGATTCAAAACACCCTGAAAATGTGTTTAGTTGGCCTTAATCACAAACTTTCAGACCAGATGATGGTGCCTTAATTGATTGAGTGAGAATTAAGACACTTGAAGTATGATGAGCTTGGTAATCAAAATGGCTTCTTTCCAGCTGGACTTTGGCATCCATCCTGCACTGACTGGAATGAGTGCTCTGCCCTTTGTTGACCATATTGATCCTGAACAAATAGACTTGATGCTTGTGTCGCACTTCCATCTGGACCATGCTGGTGGCTTGCCGTGGTTTTTGATGCGAACACGCTTCAAAGGACGTTGCTTCATGACTCATCCAACTAAAGCAATTTACAAGTGGCTTCTCTCTGATTACATTAAAGTTAGGTAAGCTATAAAATTATTTACAGTAGTAACCCAAAGAAAATATTTTTATGTATAATTCCATCCTCGACACTTACTGTACAAGCATCCCTTGATTTACGATGATGCTACTGTTAAACCATCTTAATTCATGGGTTTAGATATCATACTCATTGGACTTCTTAATTTTTCTCATGAGTTTTGCATTGTATTTGTCTCTTTCATTTTTGCTGTTTTAAAAATTAGTGTAATTTGTGATATCTTGACTGTCAGTTGAACTTTAAAGACAGTTTTATGCCTTGTTGTACAGGTTGACAATCCCTTATCCGAAATCCTTGGGGCCAGGGGCATTTCGGATTTCGGAATTTTTCGGTTTTCAGAATGGTTAGTTTTTTTTTTTTTTTTTTTATAATGTGTATTAGCTCACCGGGCATAGATCACTGACCCACATCAGGGCCTGGGGGGCGAAAATATAACAAAAATTATAATAATAATAATAATTCATAGGTCTAGGTTGTGTTTCTCAATTTTGATCTTATTTTCATTCTTGTATTTCTATATTATTATTATTATTATTTTATTATCACAGTATTATTGATATTATTATTAATTTTATTATTATTATTATTATTATTATTATTATTATTATTGTTATCATTATTATTTTATTTTGGTGTATTTTTATTAAAAATTTTATTTACTATGAATAATTATTATTATTATAATTATTATTACTGTTACATTTTTTCCCCAGGCCCTGATGTGGGTCAGTGATCTATGCCCGGGTGGGCTAATCCCTGTTAAAAAGCAAAAAACAAAAAAAAATGGCCCCACAAAAAAACTTTCGGTTTTCAGAGCTTTTCGGAATTTCGGATAAAGGGTTGTCAACCTGTATCATTAATTTATTTAATTTTATGATTGAGTACAGACGTTTTTTATAGCTATTTGTACAAAAACTTGACAGGTTGTTGTTTTTTAGTGATAAAAGTCTTACCTTTTGTTGTATCATTGCAGAAAGATATGCATGGCCTAAGTGGTTGTATTTAAAATATATAAGCAGGATATATTATTTCTAAGAGGACAAAGTTTGCTGTGACCAGTATCATAACCTTATCCCTCAGAAGCCACCAAATTAATTTGAAAGGCTTAAGTCTCTTTGCTGGAAATTCAGTCATATGTTCTTTTTTTTCTTATTCTTGACAGTAACATTGCCACTGAGCACATGCTGTACTCAGAGAGTGACCTTGAAGCTTCCCTTAACAAAATTAATGTGATTAACTTCCATGAAGAGAAGGAGGTACATGGCATCAAGTTTTGGTGCTATCACGCAGGACATGTTCTCGGTGCTGCAATGTTTATGATTCAGATTGCTGGTGTAAAGGTAACTATAATCTTATCTGTAATAAATGCTTCATATTTTATTTGATCCCTTAAGTAAAAACAAAGCTGTGCTTCCGATGTGACCCTTAAAGGTAATAATAAAAAAGTCTGAAAACAGCAGATAGACATAGAAACATTTATTTGATTGGAGGTTTTTGATAAGGTGCTGAATGCTTCCACCAAAATGCTGTGTGAATTACATTATTTATGGGGCTGTTTCCGGCTTCTCACCTCACTGAATCACAACCCACACTTACACATTGTTGATGGAAGTTTCTTACCAACAGGGTCAAAGAAGTACAGTGGTCCGTTGGTTAACGAACACAATTCGTTCCACAGAGTCGTTCGTTAACCGAATCTATTATTTCAATGGGATATTGGGTAATTGGTTCCAACTCACAGAAAAAGTACATACAAAGTACTGTATACCAGTAATAGAATTAACAAAACATTAAATATAAACTAAATACAGCACTGTACTGTACAGTATACTGTACAATAATATATAAAAAACAATAGAATACTATATTTTAACTTACTTTGAGGTGTGTATGTCATATTACCTAGGGTTGCCATACGTCCGTATTTTCCCGGACATGTCCTCCATTCAGGTCTCGAAATCTTCATCCGGAACTAATTTTTAAAATTCTTCAAAAGTCCGGAATTTCAGCTTCCATCATTTTCTCCACGGAAAAAACATGAAGCTGTAATGACGAGAGAGAGAGACTGTGAGAGAGGGGAGGTGAAAACCGTAGAGATCTCGTTCAGTTTTCGTTAGCTGATAAGTCACATGTACGCCTGTACGGTGTTGTCAACTTAGCTGCTAGCAGTTTTTGGTCTAGCATGTAGTGCCATGTACTGCTTTTCCTTGTTCTTCAGCCACGCGCATTACAGTCAACCCTCGCTTTACGCGGTCCCACTTTACGTGTTTCCACGTTTACGCGGTACCCTGCCGAACACGGAATGCTCACTTTCCGCGGTGCGTGTACCCTTTTACGCAGAGAGCGGCACGAGCAGGGTGCGCACAAGGTCGCCCAGTCATCAAAACATTCCCGAGTTCTTCACCCGCCACCCACCACAGCCAGCCCAAGTCAGTGATAGTGATAATGATAGTGAGGATATGGACTTATATGGACTTTGAGGGGTTTGACAAAGAGGCCCTGCAAGCCTCTGTGGTGGATAGTGATACAATTGATACAGGTGAGGGCCAATAATCTGCCCTCTGCCTCGGAACCAACCTCCCATCCCCGTGTGCCCAGCCATCTTTTCTACTAATGTAAGTGTTAAAAAACCTAATATTATTGATATTTCTCTTAATTATTAATTGTGTGTGCATACCATCATAAAATTAAGAAGTTGTTTTTACTACAACGTAGGTATTGTGTCTGAAAAAGTGGAGTTTGGGGGTCGGCCTGGTCTCTATTTCAATTAATCCCATATGTTATGTTGTTCACTTTACGCGGGCCGCCGTGGGTTCAATTGACCGCGTAAAGTGAGGGTTCACTGTATTATAATTTTTTTTTGTATTTAGTGCTATTACAGCCATAAATGAAATGTTGAAAGTATACCATTTTTTTCGTATGGCTTTTTTACACTGTAGCATGTGTTTTTCTTGTCCTGCATTTAAGGCATTTTAGAAATTTTCAACCATAATCTAGCCACTTTCGCTATATTATTTACGTGTGTTGACAACTATGACGGTGATTGGTGGTTGGCCCATCTTTAACCTGCAGTGACAGTGTTTGATCTTAGTCTTTGTTCTGGGTTTGTTGCTTGTTGCCACAGCTAGTGCTTACGATTTGTTGTACTTTTCCAGAGTATAAAACGGTACCGTAAACCCCACAGACAAAATGCCCAAATGCAAATGTAAATTCACTGTAGAGTTACAGAACAAAATCCCATGTTTTAAGAGAAGCAGGGATGAATGGGAAGCTCAGTGTTTGGTGTGCAAACCAGGAATGTATGTCTCTGTGGCAAATAAAGGCATTAATGATTTGCAAACACATGTAAAGTCAGACAAACACAAGAAAGCAGTTGAAGGAGAGGGCTCATCGATGAAACTGACAGATTTTTTTGTCAAACCAGGGAGTAAAACTGAAGATGCTGTCACTGCTGCAGAAGGTACTTACGCATTTCACACTGTTAAACATCACAATAGCTTCACGTCCATGAACTGTTCATCTGCCTACATTAAAAACACAATGCAATACAGTACACCAATATATATATATATATATATATATATATATATATATATATATATATATATATATATATATATATATATATATATATATATATATATATATATATATATATATATATATATATATATATACACACACACACACATATATATACACACACACACACACACACACGCTGGTTAACGTCTGACCGAACAACGTCCGATCACAAGTAAATCACCGTGGGTGCGCGTGATCCAGGTATATGCTGATAACCACAAGGAAAAAAGAAAACACGAAGTTCCCAAGCGCTTTTGTGTAATTTACATCTTCAGGGGTGAGTACAGACTAAGGAGAAGTACAAAACAAGGTGTATATATACAGAGGAGGGTGAGACCAGGTCCACAATGGTCAGGTATTAGGTAATGACCCTACTAATCTTCAAAAAGCACCGCAGCAGTCGGTAGTCAGGTCAGAGGGTAAGCTGACCCAATCTTCTCACCTGGTTACAAATCTTCTTAATTACGACATTATCCAGTTTGTACATACCATTACTCAAATTCATGTTGACTGATTCGGTATGTTTAATGAGACTAGATTCTATAATGTTCCTACTGTCAATTGAATTACAAGGTAATATTGAGGATGCATTATAATAAGCATTGCACAAAAACTGTTCCCTGTACTGTCTATATTATCAATATGTTAACTAAATTTCAGAATGACCAATAATTTTAATATAAAAAATGCAGAAATATTCAAGAGACCAACTTTCTTGATATTTACTTCACTGGAAACGAATGTAAACATAGAATCAATTAATGTATTGGCGGACTAGCCGATCAGCTGATGCGCTCAACAAAATGTGTTTGTCGTAAGAATTTTGTTAATCGAAGTTTTGTTCGTTAATCGAACTGAAAATCCTTGTGGGAGCTAATTCGTTAACTGAAAATTTCGTTAATCGAACCGTTCGTTAACCGAGGGACCACTGTACATGGATAGGTGTTGTGGGTTTCATTACTTAGACTTTGCTGTGGTGCAGTGGGAGATTTGGCACTATAATGGTAACTTTTCAACTCTAATCACTTGTTTTCCCTATTCTTTGCTAGTCTGTTGTCCTTTGCCTCTCTACTGTAATGGCATGACACCAAAACGGTGTGTCAGCATATGTGTACATGCAATTTTTTGCAAGTACAGTAATAACTCAAATAGATAGTAGTAAATTTTGAAGAAGCTTGGTACCCAACAAGATCAAGGATAAGTATGATATATAATTAATACAGTAATTTCAGTTATTGTTGTTCAGGGTTATGGTTGCTTAATTTTCTTTAGTGGGAATTCTAGCATCTTTAGTGGCAGGCACTTGTTAAACAGATAATGTTCAGATATAATTATTTAACAACCAGATAAAATATTTCTTATGGCTAGTGTACATTTTTCTTAATTAGATCCTCTATACTGGTGACTTTTCAAGGCAAGAGGACCGTCACCTTATGATGGCAGAAATACCACAGATTCGACCAGATGTTTTGATGATTGAGTCAACATATGGAGTCAGCATTCATGAACCCCGTGAGAGTAGAGAATCACGCTTCACTACAACAGTTCATACAATTGTAGGCCGAGGAGGCCGCTGTCTAATACCTGTATTTGCTCTTGGCCGAGCACAGGAACTTCTATTGATTTTGGGTATGTTCAGTTTAGTTTTTTGCTATTTAATTATTAATTATCATTGTAATGGTGTAACTTTCAAGAAAATAAAGAAAAATTAAGCTTAAAGTAAGCAAATTATTAGTGCAAACTTAATTGATTAAGAGAGAGAAAACAGAGGACTCAGGCATCCTGAAGCGAGAAAAAACGGACTCCTATGATGGGAGACACAAGCACTCACACGTGCCACTCATACTGACAGACTTGACACTCACTTACTTGACAAGTTTTACCAACCATTAGTTGTGTATGTTATCTAGTGAATTTAGTCAATATTGTACAGAACAAGTACACTGCAATACAATGGTCCCTCGGTCAACAATGGACCTAAGTGCAAACCTGTGTTGTACATGTACTAAATGATTATGGTACTAAAATTGTTATGTCTATTGCAAATATAGATTGTTTATACAGGTATTCAAATAAATCACTATCTTACAAGAATCCCAGCAATGTAAGTTATATTCACCCAGGTCATTTGGGTGGCAAATTATGAGAAGAGCTTAGTCACTCTTAAAGAATGATAAATAAACACGCTGGCCTTCAGTGCCAACTGTCAAATTATATTGCTCCCCTCCCCCTGGGGGTTTTAGGCCTTAAGTTTTTCATATAATATCTCGGACTATAGGAGAATATTGTAGCACATCAGTGTACATTTTATAATATAAAGTTTTTCAACTGTATTTTTGGGTAGATTTACATACATTTCTTCATTTATTTTCATCCATTTACATGCACACACCATACTAAAAGAAACACAAAAGAAATAAATGACCTTAGTGCAAAGCTGGAGTGTACTTGTACTAATTTGATTATGGTACTAAAATTGTTTTGTCTAGTGCAAATTATAACATGTTTATATTCAAATTAATCACTATCTTACAAGAATCCCAGCAATGTAAATTATATTCACCCAGGTCATTTCACTGGCTTTTTATAAGAGAGAAGCTTAGTCACCTAAGAACTGATAAATATACACGCGTTAGACCTGGGCCTGTGCCAACTGTCAAACGTACTACCTCCCCTCCCCCCACGCCCCCTCGCTAGCTCCCACCCTCTCCCCCCATCTGCTTGGCGTTGCTGGAATCCTTGTAAAACAGTGAATAATTTTAATATAAAGTCATGTATTTTGCACGAGATAAAAATTAATCACCTGTATCACATTACAGTAGTGATTTAAGAGTAAAAGTGTATATGTACGTATATAGTATTCCACATACACGTAAGTATAAATACAAAGTTTATGTGATGATCGGACAACGTCCATTTCGGTTAACATCACGTTTCCAAGAACGTATCTAGGACGTTAACCGGCGCATGACTGTATATACATACAGTATAGTATATATACACAGCTCCTCCCCGACTTACGACCTACTCGACTTATGACCACCCGCACTTACTACCTGCCTCAGTCTTACCAAAATTTGGTCAAATTACGTATTTTCGAGTCCCAAAGTCAGTACACAGACAAAATTTTCATTTGTAATTCACTTTAAAATGGCTGACAAGCTTAAAAGTGAGTGTTTTGTGGTGCCGAGAAGAAAAAGAGAGACCCATTTTAGATTTTCTATGCATTATTTAAGCATTTCCGACTTACGACCATTTCAACTTACGACCTGGATGTCGGTCCCTAAAGTTAAATGTGATTATATCTTACAGATGAATATTGGCAACTACACCCTGAGTTACATGAGGTACCCATCTATTATGCCTCAGCTCTTGCCAAGAAGTGCATGAGTGTCTATCAAACTTATACACATGCTATGAATGAAAGGATTCAGCGACAGATATCTATCAGTAATCCTTTTCAGTTCAAGCATATTTCAAACCTAAAGGTAAGTACCTTGCGAAGAAATGATGTTTAAAGATTTATTATGTTTGTATGTGTGATGCAGGAGGTCCTTGTTGTCTGAGGCTAATAGGGACCAGAAAATCACCATTTAAATTGGGGAATTTCTGGCCTTAAGAAATAATGGGATTAGGGTTATTTTTATACTTATTGTCATTTATACTCGGGAATCTGAAGAGCTTGTCTTCCGATGAATAACATCTGATTTAACGTCCAGCCATAGCTGCTACGATTCCTTGTAGAGATGGCACGCATTATGCTTTGAACTCATGACTAAAGGCGTCATTAAAAAATACGACATTGTACCGCGTCTTGGGAATAACTGTTGTACAACATAGTCTTCAGAAAACAATAAAATTAGGAGAACTGTTATTTGAACACAATACGGAAAGAAATAGTGAAGAAAATATATAGAAAATTATGGAAAGAAAGAAAAATGGAAGAAAAGCCAATCAGTCAACAATAAATCAGAATAACACAAAAAATCTGGCCCATTGTAAAGGTAATTTCTCCCAGACTTTGAAACCACACTACTGTCTCGCGCGGCTAGGTATTTGCTTATTTATACAAGAAATACGACGAATTTCAGGTTCGTATGTTTTAATTTTTGCACTTCCTTACAGAACTGTAATTAACTTATTTAACCTCATTTAAAGAATCTTATGAGTAATGATATTAAGGTTTCAATCATATTTGAGTAATTATCAATATTGTTACACCAAAGTCACCAACGGCTAATGAAATCGGACAGCGGCCACTTAAAAACGGGCGGAGCCAGAACAGGTTTCAACTAGGTGCAATCCTTTTCAATTCTTTCTCTCCATACGCTTTGTTTTAAGTCCTATCCAATATACTACTGTTTATAGAATTATTTTTATTATTATACAGGTTGTACCTCTCTAGTCCGGCAACCTCGGGACCTGACCGGTGCCGGACCATAGAAATTTCCAGACCATGGAAATTCACCCGTTTCCTGGATAGATAGTGACTTGTGCTTATGCTTGGAAGCACTAGCACCACTTTCTCTGCTTCATGGTCTCTTTGAAGACATATTGAAGGGTTAAATGTCGTACAGTAGCTTCTCAAATTTCGTGAGTTTTTAATTCAACGTTTTTTATTGGAACACACACAAAAAGAAAATAATTTAAAATTTTGACGGCGGAAACTCGAATTTCGACGGGTTTGAACGGCTCACCAACGTTCAGACGTGCACAATCGTGTAAACAGCGTCATTTCTCTTATGTACAAAGAATTCATTATTGTTTATTACTGAATGTCTTTTTGATTAATGTTTATGTGTGCAAAATGAGCAATGCAATTCATTAATAATACGTATAATATTAAAACACACGAGGAGACAAGACGACTTTGTTTTCGTTGTTTACAAAACCAGTGACTGACTGGTTCTACATATAAAACTGAAGAAAATAAGACCCTGGTTGTAGTTGTAGTAAAATTAATATGGTTTTTTTAAGTAATGTTAATAACTGGAACAATAGTAGCAGCTAACGATAATGGTAAAGAAAAAAAGAGAGATCGCGTACGTAAGTGTGCACATGTGAAAACATATCGTCATTACTCTACATAAGAATATGAAAGCAACACTTACTTACCGTTCATAGTGAAAACATATCGTCATTACTCAACATAAGAATATGAAAGCAACACTTACTTACCGTTCATATATATTTTAATTAATGTTTCTGAATTTTTTTATTGAATTTATGTTTGTGTGTGCAAAATGAACAATACAATTCATTAATAATACGTGGAATATTAAAACACACGAGGAGACGAGACGGCTGCCGGCATTGTTTTCGTTAATGCTTACAAAACCAGTGACTGATTCGTTCTACATATAAAACTGAAGAAAATAAGACCCTGTTTGTAGCTGTAGTAAAATTAATGTAAAAAAATTAATATGGTTGTTTGAAGTAATGTTATTTAATGTTAATTAATGGGACAATATAAGTAGCTAACCATTAATGGTAAAGAAAAAAAGTGAGACTGCGCGTATGTAAGTGTGCACATGTGAAAACATATCGTCATTACTCTACATAAGAATATGAAAGCAACACTTATTTACTGCTCGTATATATTGAAGGGTTAAATGTTGTACTCTGTATAGACAAGCAGAGAGCAGGGAGAGAGAGAGAGAGCAGCCGAACTGCCGGATGTAAACAAACCTTAATTTCACGCGGCTATGTTGTTGTTTTTTTTACGGGGATTAGCCCACCCGGGCATAGGTCACTGACCCACATTGGGGCCTGAGGGGCGAAAATTTAATACTCCTGTAATAATAATAATAATAATAATTCAGATAAGTAAAAAAAAAAAAAAAAAAGCTGCCTATCTACCTATTGGACAAACTAAAAGCATTCCGGACCACAGAATGCCGGACTAGAGAGGTACAACCTGTATCAGTTTTTTTTTTCCTTACATGCCCCCAACTCTTCAATATTAATAAAAATATTCTCCATAAGCAGCCATGATCTGCGTATTTACTCACTGTTTTAGTGGGAGAAACTCGCTGATCGGTTGTTAGCTATTTGGGTGCTGCACACGCTAACGCCTGATCAAGGTGTTTGCTTTTCCCTCTCCAAGTGTCATGCGCAGAAGTGTCTGCGCAGATAGAATACTGTAGCTATTATTCCGTACATCTAAAACGCCTTACAATTAACGCCTTAACTTAATAGCAATGATTTTTCAAGAATGCATATGAAAAACAGTAGAAAATCACGGAAGGTTAGGCATTATTTATGGTGAGCGTATGAATGAGAGCAAGTGCGCAGTATGGGTATGGGGGATGAGCATGATGGGGGTTGCGGGAGGTGTAGCGGGAGATTTGGTTCGTTCTCTGATTAGACTTTTGTGCTCCATGGATATTATGGTACTCATTGTAATCCTCTTGAGTGTGTGGATTTTTTACGCACAGCATACAGTAATTCAATAATAATTTAACCTCGTAAATTTGAAACCACAGATATTGATGACTTGAATAACGAGGACCTCCTGTATTCGTATCTTAAGCAGTGTTGTGATCACCCTGTAAGTGGAGATAAGGCTAGAGTTTGCTGCTTATTGTGTGAATGTGCACCAGGATTAAGTCACTTAAAAAGCTTTTGTTCACCATATCTCCAAAAATAAAATACTATACATATTATACTGTATACATAAACCTGTATATTGAGTTACAAGAATTATGAATCTTTATGTTGTGAACTCTAATGAGTGTTAGTAGTTGTCTAAATTTTATCAGTGCAAATACTTGTCTATGGTGTGTTGAAGGATGTTGGAAGATTTTCAGGTTTCTCATTAATTAGATGTTGACTTACTGAACTCGGTTTTGTCATCTGACCATAACAATGTAATGCTCTGTTTCTTTGACTTAATTTCACATGTTTTTCAGGGGATGGACCAGTTTGAGGATATTGGGCCATGTGTCATTATGGCTTCACCAGGTATGATGCAGAGTGGACTTTCTCGGGAATTATTTGAAATGTGGTGTCCTGATCCTAAAAATGGAGTCATAATTGCAGGTGCGTATAGCTGTGTGAGCACTTTTAATGTCTCTTATAATTACCTTAAGTTGGGACTGTATGGTTTATTAACCCTTAAACTGTGCAATACAAATCTGTGGCTACCTCTGCTGTGCACCAAAAATTTAGCTCTTTAAATTTTAAGATTTACCCTTTATAAAATTCAATATAATGTACATGTGAAGCAAAATGAAACACAATATACAGTAATATTAGTACAGTATTACTTTTATACACCATGCAGGTATTTCAGTACACTGGAATTTACTATTTTGGGGACTCTCTTAAGTGCTCTGGACTGCGCTGCTATTCACCAGAAATATCAATAAAAAAAATTAAAAAATCCAGAAAATCCAGCATCAGTCTGGACAATTTATGTGTTTGTGTGGCACATGCCTCAGTCTGAGTCTTGGCTCCATACATATCATATGAGTGTGCCATGCCTCATCCCTATCTTTACTGATTTGTTAATTTTTTTTGTAGACAATGTATTGCCTTTAACGGGGATACTCGAGTGTTTAAGAAATGGGAAAATTGTGTAGAGTACTTATTTTAAGAAATGGATAAAATATAAAAATCATATGAAAAGAACAACATTTGTTCACTGAATACTCTACATTGGTCGATTCATATTTGCTGTAGGCTTAACGAGAGCTACTAAGTACTGTATGAGAGATAAGGCACTGCATACGAGTATGTAAACAGGCTAGGGGTGGTGGGGGGGACTGTGTGTTGCTGTATTGGCCAAGTTTTATTTATTTTTTATGAATTTAATATTACTTTCTTGCTTGATCAGCCTCTTATGGTGTATGATTCATCATAATTAATATAACATCTTCAATAATAGAAACAAAATACGTTGTACAGTACTGTACAGGAATACCATGCTATTCACAACCTCGCTTATCTGCAATTGATATTTTAACACCCCTATTTGATATTTCCAAAGCATACCCAACTTATTCACTAAGAAAAATTATGACACCCTACAGTAATATCTCAAATTGCGCAGGCTAGCTGCAGCTCTCATATTCGCTGTAAGGTCCGCTTCACATAAGGTTTAGGGGAACAGTAACAAGTGTGGTGATGAGTAGAAAAATGCATGATGTGTGATAATGGTTGTTCATTGCTCAGGTTTTTCAGTAATTTTCAGCTTCTCTTATTCTTCATTACATGCACTGACAAACTATCAAACAACTACTCAGAATAATGGACTCCTGTCCATTATCCTGAAGGTTTGTCCTATAGGTTTAGGGTGTCTGTTATAACTGGGTTCTGTGATGTATGGTGTCCATTATACCGAGGGTTTACTATAGTCTATTTTAATTTTTTTGTAAATTGATGTACATTACTGTATATTTATTATAATTTCAGGTTACTGTGTGGAAGGTACATTGGCCAAAGAAATATTAAAGGAGCCAGAGGAAGTGACTACTATGTCAGGTCAGAGATTACCAATGAAGTGTTCTGTTGAATACATCTCCTTCTCTGCCCACACTGACTTTGAGCAGACTTCACACTTCATCCGTACTATTCGACCTCCAAATGTGGTAACAAATTTTGACAATATTATTACAGTACTCTCCATCTGAAATTTGGAAATACTTGACAGCCTTGAATTCTATTATAACTGATGTTTCATGTGTTTGAATATGAATTCCAAGGGGTTGCTACTCTGTTCACCCAAACTTTGTAAATGAGGCCTAGGGCTAGTTTGTAGCAAGGCAGCTGATTGGCTGGTGGAGGGACATGGAACAGGTCACTCTACAGTTCTTTAGTATTTAACCTCGCATATTTATATTTTGTTGCTTTAAGGGATAATAAGTATTTTATGATCATCCCTGATAATTTTTGCACTTGGGAAGCAAAAATTAGCATATGAAAAAAAAATCTTGTAAATTGAGTACAAACATGATGAAAAAGTTTAGCCTCATTTCCCCAGCATTATGTTAAGAAGGGCATCCATGTATCAATAAAATAAAATAAGTTAACTTTAACTCTCTTCACTCATAAGACTCAGTTGAGTGACCCTTTACACGTCTTCGTTTCAGTCAATCAGGTGTGTTGCTACAAACAACTCTAGGCCTCATTTGAAAATTTGAATGAACAGACAATAGTCAGTGACATTCAATGGTTATGGGTATACTGTATTCATGAATATCAAAGTAACTACTGTACCATATCTGCTCTCACCTAATTTTAAGTTCTGTATTTTCACATTTCCAAGCATTTTCCATATGTGCATGGTGACAGGGAGGTATAATCTGTAATTTAGATACAGTATTAGGAAATTTATTGGGTTTTACATATATACTGTATACATATTTACTGTATATATTTTTTTAAGTTTTGATAATTTTCATAAGGTTTTGGTGCATGGAGAAATGACAGAAATGTCACGTTTGAAGGCAGCCCTTGAGAGAGAATACGAAGGTAGCACAGAAAATCCTGTAAAAGTGTTCAACCCGAAGAATCTTGAGACTGTCACATTTCACTTCAGGGGGGAGAAAATGGCTAAGGTAAGTTGAACAATATATTGTTATACTGAAAATGTAAGATATATGTTGTGTAATTTTGTTTTTAGTGAAGGTCAAAGTTGTTAGAGAATTCTGTCTGTGAATATAAAAAGAGGTGTAAAGGAGAATAGTAATGGTAAAAGTTGTGTGATCCAGATAAATGCCTGGTGAAAAGGGAACTTTATTCTCTGTTTTGTATACTGTATTTATTTTGTGCTTAACCCCATTGAACATTTATCGCTGCACTACAGGTGCTCCTCTACTTACCAACGAGTTACGTTCCTGAGGTTTGTTTGTAAGTCCAACTTTACTCTTGTAGATACCAAACATATTGTAAAAAATGAAAAGATTATGGATATTTAGTACAGCTATACCCTTTAACTGGCTCACTCTTCTCCACTTAGGTAATACTTGTTCTATCTGGAATTTTCTTCAAAATAATCCACTCTCATCCACATTAAACACTTGTTCTGGCAGGTAACCCCCCTCAGTGATGATGTTTGTATCTCTGAAAGTTTGTAAGTTGAATGTTCTTAAGTAGAGGACCACCTGTATTTCATTTCCTCTTTTTATAGAGGTTCTAGTGTTAATTGCTCCAACCCTCAAAATGTGCATATTGATATTTAATTAGAAAATAGTGTTTATCAAGAGTTGTGTACATAACGACAAAATATTCTTTAATGACTTGCAGGTAATGGGAGAACTTGCTGTTAATAAACCCAAAGAGAATGGCGTAGTTTCTGGTATTTTGGTTAAACGGAACTTCAACTGTCATATCATTTCTCCCAAAGAATTAGGCAGTAAGTATATTGTTTCTTTGATTTCTAAATGTGATACTCACTCCTTATATTGTCTTTAGGTTCTAAACCCATTCTTAACTCATCATCCATAGAATTGTTTAGTAGTCTTGACACATAATACTTGATATATTGTACAGTCGGCCCTTAACATTCGCGGGGGTTAGGTAACAGAGATACCCGTGAATGTTAAAAATCTGTGTACTATTGCTGCCCCCCTCCCTAAAAAATCCCTGGCCCCCCATGTCCTTATTTACCGTATATATCTGTGTGTAGTTCGAGCTTTTAAGACCAAATTATTTGGCAAAAATTGGGGGTCGACCTCTAAACGGGTAATAGTTTCGTTAGGTTGAAAAATATTTACCAGTAACTACCAGTAAACACTGGAAACGATGCACCAACACACCACCAGCTGTGAGTGTCGGTACAGTTGCCAGGGCAGATCTCTTGCGAGCCCAAAGTAGCCAAATCCATGGTATGGTAGCACAGGATGATGTAAAACAAAGTATTCATTTATTAAAGTTAATTTATAGATACTGGACATAAATTTTTGTTCATTACATTTGAAACATCAATCTTTGTTAATTAAATTTGAAACAAGAGAAAACTACGATACTGGATTTTCATTAAAATATTACATCACAAGTATATTTTACCTTAACTGTGACTGAATGAATATATTCTCGGAAATAAATATGGAAATGTAATATTTTTGCTGGAATGACGTACATATTATAGTGGGAAGTGGGATAAAATCATGACGAAAGACTTTCGCTTTCTTTCGTTGTTCAAAATATTTTACCGTAATCGCTTTTCGAATGGTTTTCAGTTAAAAACTGTTGTACTCGTACTGTATTACAATAATATTCTATCCTATCATTAGCCTTATAATCCCACAACTGAAAACCATTCGAAAAGCGATTACGGTAACATCTTTTGAACGAAAGAAAGCGAAAGTCATTGCTTTCGTCACTTTCCACTGTAATACGTACATCATTTCAGCAAAAATATTACATTTCCATGTTCTCAGAAATAAATGGTAGTTTTGTTGAAACATAATGTACAGTATTTAACATTAAAATGCAAAAATAGCTATAAAAACAATTAATACACCCGTAATGTACTGGCTGTCCTCTCCACTCGTCCCTGCTCCCGCCAGTCACCTCCTCCCCGCTCTATCCCTCCGCCTCCTCCCCGCTCTATCCCTCCGCCTCCTCCCCGCTCTATCCCTCCGCCTCCTCCACATCGTCACTACTGTTGTATTACAATAATATTCTATCCTAATTGACTTGAATAAATACTATGATACCATATTTCTGAATATTTTCATTAAAATCCATCCAAATCATTTTCCTTGCCATCGTCTGCAGCACCAAACAGCTTCTCCCAGTCCTCTCCTTGAACAGGGCTAGAGGGTACGTGTTTTTCGAATCGTTTTCAATTAAAAAAATGTTACATCACACGTATATTTTACCTAAACTGCGCCTGAATGAATATATTCTTGGAAATAAATAGTAATTTTGCTGAAACGTGATGTATTTCAATGTAAAATAGGATAAAATACATGACGAAAACAAAAGACTTCACCTAACCTTCCAATGTTCAAGAGATGTTTACGTATTTCAATGTAAAATAGGATAAAATACATGACGAAAACAAAAGACTTCACCTAACCTTCCAATGTTCAAGAGATGTTACTCGTTTTTTTAATAGTTTTCGGTTAAAATACTGTTATATTACAATGATATTATATTCATACTGTGCTTGATATACTACATTCACAGAAATGAAATATTTTTGCTGAAATGACGTAAGTATTACAGTGGAATGTGGGACAAAATCGTGACGAAAACAATGACTTTCGCTTTCTTTCGTTCAAAAGATGTTACCGTAATCGCTTTTCGAATGGTTTTCAGTTAAAAAACTGTTGCATCACAAGTGAATTAGGATAGAATATTATTGTAATACAACAGTTTTTTAACTGAAAACCATTCGAAAAGCGATTACGGTAACATCTTTTGAGCGAAAGAAAGCGAGTCATTGCTTTCGTCACTTTCCACTGTAATACGTACGTCATTTCAGCAAAATATTACATTTCCATATTCTCAGAAATAAATAGTACTTTTGCTGAAACGTGATGTATTTCAATGTAAATTAGGATAAAATACATGACGAAAACAAGAGACTTTACCTAACCTTCCGATGTTCAAGAGATGTTACTCGTTTTTTCAGTAGTTTTCGGTTAAAATACTCTTATATTAGTGATGTTCTATTCATACTGTGCTTGATATAATACATTCACGGAAATGTAATATTTTTGCAACTACAATGCTGATGTCAACACAAGTGTGGTTACAGCGAGACTGACTGAGTGAGGGAGAGCTATGCGTGTGTGTGTGTGTGTGTGTGTGTGAGGTTGCGGTAGCGGTGGTGTCCCGTGTTCGGTGCCGTGCGCGAGTTGAATGGCGTGCGATTTGAATGTACTTCAATTACTTCAATGTACAGAATATTCCTCTGGCGGGGCAATCCGCGTATTTGCGAATCCGTGAATGCTAAACCCGCGTATGTGAAGGGCCGACTGTAACTCAGTTGTGTTGGCAGAGTTTCTCATGCAATACTATGTTAAAAAAACATTGAATTATAGTACAGGTATAAACCCTCAAGTCTGGGATCCTTGAGACCAAGGCCTGTATTCACAGTAGACATACCCAACGGTGAGCCCGACCATCAGGAACCCAAAGCTCGTGTAGGGAGACGTTACTCAAGTACTGTATGTGCTTTGGGCACTATGGTGGGTAGGGATCCCAATCTTCCGGGTAGGACTATCAACATGGTGAAATCAGCAGGATGGCCCACTGTTACCATGAACCAGGCATCAAGTACCCCAATACTATTTCCCTCAAACAAAAAAATATATATTTATAAATAATAAATAAATGAAAAAAATACCATATGACCAAACAAACATAAAAGTGTTAAGATGATATTTATGGGATACTGTATATAAATTATTATTCTCTGGTGTTGGCCACACTGGAATGGCCTGTGTTTGGTGTGCTGCAAGTTAGCTATAACATGTAAACAAAAGGCACTCGATTTAATGTTTCACTAAACATTAAATTCTGTTTTACTTCATTTCTGTTACCGCATCCTTGATTATTGTGCCCGTTTAGGTCTTGACTAAAGTGTCACTTAAAAATAGTTGATAAGGATTTGAGTATAGCTGCCTCCTTTGTTATGAGGCTGACTTGGTACTCTGTGTATGCTATGTAAACTCAGCTATGTTATAGAGAAATCCGACTGCGAGAAAGATTTAGGAGTAATGGTAAGTAGGAATCTTAAGCCAAGTAAACAATGTGTATTTGCTCGAAACAAGGCTAATAAAGTACTTTGGTTCATACAAAGGAGTGTTAGTTACAAGACTAGCGAGGTCATCTTACAACTATATCTTGCACTTGTGAGACCTCGCTTGGATTACGCAGTTCAATTCTGGTTACCATATTACAGAATGGATATAGAATCCTTAGAAAGAATTCGGAGGAGAATGACAAGACTAATCCCGGGCATTAGGAATCTTGAGTACAGAGACAGGTTAAAGCATCTTAATTTGCACTCCCTCGAGAGACGTAGAGTGAGGGGCGATATGATAGAGATGTATAAATGGAAGTCAGGGCCAAACAAAGGGGACATTACAAAGGTACTCAAACTATCCAGCCAGGAGCGAACTCATAACAATGGTTTTAAATTAGACAAATTTAGATTTAGGTGTGAAATAAGTAAACATTGGTTTGGAAATACTGTAGAGTAGTGGATGACAAGTATACTTACCCTCTGTACAGTAAACCCTTGTTATTCGAGAAGGATAGGTTCCAAGGAATGGCACAAATAGGCAAAACCGCGAATAGCAACTTATACTACCTTAGTGCACTACTGTACTGTATACCTATATCAAACAACCGACCAGCTGTGGCACCACTCATCCCCTCCTTTAACTTGTCTAATAATTCAACTTTCTTTGTCAGGGTCACACTGACCTCTGCCTTTTACTCCACTAGCACTTACACTAGGCAGTCTTTTAGGGGCCATTTCACACAAAAACACTAAAGCTTTGATAGTACAACACGAGATGCTGCATGGGGCGAGTCGTTGTGCTGCGGGAAAAAGTTTGCAAGCTAGCCACCATCTGCTTACCGCGAATCGTCGAAATTGAGAATCTCAAACCAGTGAATGGGATGGGTCTACTGTAACATACATATTATGTAAAAGAGTAATATTTTAATTGAAAAGTTTCCTACTGTTGCTCGTTAACCTGCGCACCTCTTCTAAGTTATTAGCATTGTTTTTTTTTCGGTAATAGGTTAGGTTCGGTTAGCTTAGCTTGGTAATTCTGAAACACGGGCCGGCACCGACTATACTCACATAAACCTAAAGAACGAAATCTTAATGACTCTCATATACTGTATCAGGATAGTACCTGTACATGACTTTTCCATCCTAACAACATCCTGGCTATGTAGCCTCCAGTATGACCAGCCAGGAACTCCCAGTTAAGTAGCCAATTCCTTTTTCATCATGACTCATATTTACCTGTTTGTCTCCAGGAAAGTAAAAGAATTCAGATGTAAACCTTACTCATTTCTCGCTCTAGCAACATCAATTATCGCGTACATAAACATGCAAAACAGATAAGTACATACCCTGGCATTATCTCTAATTACTGTAAACAGGCAACATCTACTTGTAGAGGGTCTTTACAAGTAGATTACGGTATATTATAATACTAAGTGTATGTCAATTTGCAGAGTACAGTGAACTCTCGGTGTCTACCATTAGTCAGAGAACCAGCATCCACTACACTGGATCTTGGCAGCTGCTTCACTACCTCTTAGCCTCCATGTATGGCAGCATTGAGGCTATTGCTTCTGACAGTTCTGAGAACACAAGTCTCCGAGTATTTGATGCTGTTACTATTGTTCAGGAGCCACCAGTTGTGGTACTAGAAGTAAGTTGATAAATTTAATACTGTGCTAATAGCTACTTACTTTAAGTCATATGCCAAATGAATTATTTTTTTTGGGGGATTAGTGCTGGTTCAGAATTATAAGTGCTGGTTCTTCAGAATTATAAGTGCTGCTTGAGTAAATACATTTATTTTCAATATAGTACAGTCTCGCCTCGACTTACGACAACCCGGACATACGACGGCCGTGGTCATATAAAATATTTTTCATGTAACGTATTTTCGAGCCCTGTCTCCTCTGCTTGATCCAATTAATGTAGTCTCCACGCTTAATTAAAAAAATTATTGAGGCCCCGTGTGCATTCAGCTGACTACATTAAAGGTAAGTGCACTGTAACACTTTATTAATTTTTCATTATTGATTACTTTTACTGTACTGTATTTCATTTTAGAATTTCTATGTATTATTTTCGCCTTACGACCTGGTCGTCGGGACGGAATCCCGTCGTAAATCGAGGAGAGACTGTACTAATAGAGGTGTCTGCATTAAAAATGCTTGGCAGGCATCAGATGTTAATGTTCATAAATTATAATTATGCTATAACTCATTTGAACGAAATAAAATCTTTCAGTGGGTTGCCAGTCCAACAAGTGACATGTATGCTGATGCTGTAATGAAGGTGATTCTTAAGGCACAAGAGCTAGATAGCAGTTCCATCTCTGTGCCATCAGTCACAAGTGCAGTGTTTGACAAGATGCACTTCAAGGTGAGCAAACTGTACACTTTAAATTGTTATTTTTTTATTCTCAGTATCTAATTTCCACGAAACTTTATCTAACTCCTAAATTTCCTACATCTATTTTACTATTATGTCTTGCTTTTTAAAGAATGCATAATTTTTTCAATTTTATTTCTTGTGCATAGCCAGTTGACTCACTTGGTAATGTAACAGGTTTGTTGGGTAGAGGGAAACTAGTTATTTTTATATTATATTAGATGTTTTTAACACTATTTATGCATTATATTTAGATACACACTTAATATAAAACTCTAGATTATGCAGACAACATATGTGAAACACATGACTTATAATGAAAATTTCTTCTTCAATTTGTTAGCGACGTATACAGTACACCACCGGTACAAAGTATACAGTATAACGAGGACCCCCTGTAACCAGAAAAATTTCATGGATGTGTGATATTTTCAGGGGATGAGAAATGTCATCTCCATACCCAGAAAGCTCTCAAACCTGGATCTGCACTAATGGGAAGATTACTGTACGACTGTACTGTATTGAAAAAAAAAAAATGCTAAAATGGTTGGTGAGATCCAAACTAACAAATAATATGGAAAACAAAATTCCATATAGTTAAGAGTTTTACTACAATTGTAGAAATACAAATGAGGTTTTAGGCAATTGTAGTTCAGTACAGTGGTCCCTCGGTTAACGAATTACCTTCCATAAGAATCTTCAATTCGGTTAACGAACAAAAATTCGATTAACGAAATCCTTACGAAAATCACGTATTGTTGTTTTGAGCATCAGCTGATCAGCTGAAGGGGTACTCAGCCAATTCAGTAATCTGTTCTATGTTTACATTTGTTTCCAATGGAGTAAATATCAATAAAGTTGTGCTCTAATATTTTTGCATGTTTTATATTAAAATTATTAGTCATTTTAACATTTATTTAACATATTGATAATATATGCAGTACAGGGAACTAGTTTGTTGTGCGCCCATCAGATGCGTGAGTCGGCTACAAGGCATCAGCTGGGCTTTGAAAACAGTGGAGAGAGCATCTGTTTTGTTGGTGTCTTGAATATTTTTGCATTTTTCATTGAAATTATTGGTCATTCTGAACTTTAGTTAACATATTGATAATATATAGTGCAGTGCAGTGTTGATTGAAAGAAAATAATCTTGAATTACACCTAGTGAACTTAAAATTTTATTGGTGAAATTTCTGCATCAAGCATGGGTCCACTGAAAGGTGATTTCTTCTCCATCCCCACTCCCTTCTCCACCCCCACTTCTAATTCCCATTATCAACCAGGAAACTTCTACATACACACCTCAAAGTAAGTGTACGTTACTGCATTTTTTTTAACTTTATATGTACTTTTCGGTGAGCTGGAACCAATTACCCAATATCCCATTGAAACAATGGATTCGGTTAACGAGCGACCTTCTGGAACGAATTGTGTTCGTTAACCGAGGGACCACTGTATGGGTAACTCTAAATGGAAATTAGCTCAATGAATTTTTCTGGTGGTACTAATCATACTGGTTTAAATGTGAATCACAGTTACCATGTCACTATATGAACAAGACACATACTATGCAAGCCTTATTAATATGGAATTTTATTTTTGTACAGGAGTGTTTAATAGAGTTATTCCAAGAAATGTTTGGGGAAGACTCTGTGCCCAAGATATTTAAAGGTGAAAAGCTCTACGTGGATGTCAACAACATTAAGGCGAATATTGATCTTTCCTCTTTGGTGAGTTTTAAACTTGGAGTTTTTTTGAAAGCATGGGGCCTTATTCATTTATGATTTCAGCCGTTCAAGGTTGCAATAACCTCATTTCTACTAAGCTTTGTAAATATAATTTTTCTTCCCCTGCTTGATCTGGTATATCTTTAGATACTAACAAAAGTATCTACTGTGTGTTAGACATGCACCATGTCATAGATCTATTGAAATGAGGTTGCAGTAACCTGAATTTTTCATATCATATTCCTCCCACACAGCTTGATATAAAATAAACGCCACACACACACTAAGGCATCTGTGACTGAAGGTAGTTTTGTTTGAAGGATTGGTGTAGGAAACCTATTTTACAATTTAGGAGAAGTAAATGACTTGATTTCCCTCCTTCCTCCCTTATTAGGATTAGAAATCGAGTGTAATTGGGAGCTTTAATGTTTGAACTTATCTTTGTGGTTTAGGTTGGTTCAAAACCCTGAGGTGCTGAAAGAATTTTTACCTATAATCGGAATTATCACTATACCTTGGGCCGTATTCACAGTCGTTACACCACCCAACCGATCAGGAGCACTGTCATGTGTGTGGTTATTGAGAGACCCCTACAGACCCAAAGGCAGTCCCAATGGATCAGGTTTCTTATTGGGATTATTGGAACAATTCATCAGGAGGGGGTACCTGCCCTATGGCAGTGCCGATGAATATAAAACCTTCAAAACAAACCTCACAAACACCAAAGAATAATACATGTAATTTATATATCCTATAAATAGCCTCTTCACACTTTTATGTTCGTTTGGCTATATGTTTTTTACATTTTGGGGGGGGGGGTCTTTAAGGGAAATATTATTGGATTACTAGACACCTGGGTTTGTGGCAACAGTAACCTATCCTGCTGATTTGCACATACTGGTAGCCCTACCTGGAGGATTGGGACTACAACCTCTCATAGTGCCTGAAGCATATTCTTGAATAATGCCTCCCTACACGAGCTTCAGGCTTCCAATGGTCTGGCTCACTATCAACGTTGACTGTGAATACGGACCCTTGATTCAACTACAAGATCACCTGGGATATACGGGTACTTAATCCTGGATGAAAATGGCCATTTTCAACAGAAAACATTGTTTTACCAAAAAGTGGAAGAAAATGTTTTCTGCTATTAAATAGATCAGGCTCCCAGGCTTACAAGGAGTTTTCTAGGGTTTGTTTGGGAGACTGGGTCTTGCACTGCTTTCCTTCAGTTAAAAAAGGATTTTCTGTCTCTTCCTTAAATTTTGTTAAGGGTAAATTTTGCTGTAGGTAATTTACATAAGAATTGATTCTGCTGTCCTTGAATAATTACATTACTGTACATTCAAATAATTTTTCTTTCAGAGAGTAACGTGTGAAAGTGAAAAACTACAGAGAATTGTTCAAACAGCTGTAACAAAACTGTTTGAATCCTTAGCACCCGTTACAGTTGGTGTAAAAAAATAAAAAAACTCTATAATACAGCATTTATGAAGTTGTGCATTTTGTATAATGAAATACTATAGTTGACCGGAAACTGCATAGTACAGATAAGTTAACTTTTATTTAATTATTAATACGCTTTTCCTAATTAAACTGTTTCTCTCTTGGAAATAATGGTTGTCTACACAATACTGTACACTGAAAATGAAATATAATTATTGTGCACTGTTTGGTATGGGTTTAGCCAGGGATAATTAAGCACTACCTATCATATCTCAGAGTGACTTCCAGAGGTACAGTCACTGGATGGGAGTTGTATGTGTGTGTGTGTCCATACTATGAAACCTGCACAATTAGGCATGCATACAGTGCTCTCAACTAATGACTAAATCTCTGGTAGCCACCCAAGTGACCCAAGGATATGACAAGTGGTGCTTAAACACACCTGGAATACATTCAAGGGCAAAACTGCTGGATAATATGTTCATACCCTTTAACACCGAGGATAATGTTAGAGTAATACTGTATTGCAGTTCACTGTCAATAATTTTCCCAATTATGTTTTAAGAAAATATGTACTAGTTAAAATATAGATTCTTATGAACATGTCTTTTAACAAGTCATCCCTATTTAGGATTCCTTAAGTGAACCAGTATTTGGACTATTTTAACTGTGGCAAAGATAGGGTGCCAGTGTATCATTTACTATGTTCAAAGAGCCAGAGTCTCTTGGATGAGTTGAATATTCTTGCATGCCCGGTGTTAGAAATGCTGTGGCTGTGACAATGTCAGTGTATGTGTGTACTGTATGTTTGAGCATAGGTGTGTGTGTATTTGTATATCTGAGTGAGTGTGTATTTGTATTTGTATTTGTGTATGTAAGTGTGTGTGTGTTTGTGTGTAACATTGGTAAGACTGATTATCATAATTACTACTTTCTAATAGCAAATAAATAAATACCTCTATATACCTGGTAATCAGCACATTAAGGAGTAGCTATGTGCACAATAATATGACAAGAAAGATTAAAAAAAAAATCGTCAACAAATCCCCATAAAAGAAACTGAATTCAAATATGGTCACAGGCCACCCTAACACCCTTGGCGGGCCACAATTGGCCTGCAGTTTAACATTCCCTGACCTAGAATATAGAAAATGGGTTGAAAAGTGTAATAGCCTGGTTGGCCAATCAACCAATGAAAAAGCATGTCAAGCCTCTACTCCATGAAGGATAATACGAGCTGGTTCACTCAAAATTTTGCTTGTTAAATTAAATAGAAATTCATTAATTGAATTTTCATACCCAAAAACATTAAGCTTGTTGAAATTTTTTTCGTTCATTGAGTATTTGTTTGACAAGTCTTTTTGTTTATTGTAGATCTTTGTGAATTTTTTTTAAAATCTTGGTTATAGACATAATATGTTTACCTAGTTTAGGAACACCAAATTAATGAAAAAATATGAGCATGATAGCCTTGCAAGAACTGAGTAATGTACTGTACTGCAATGTGTACTGTACAGTATTTCAAACCAGTACTAATCATGACAAAAATATAATGCATTTAACTGGATCAATGCAAGCTGTCGCCCAGTACAACCGCCCAGAAGATGTCAAGATAGCATTGAAGCTCTACCACGACGGTTTTCCCAAACCTGCAATTTGGAGTCAAAATTACTATACTCTACATATCTTTTAGGAATCCACACCCAATTTGTTTTTATGGTGAGATGCTGGTGTAGTGGCCTGGATGTCAATCTTTTTTACTTAACCATAAACTAAAGCAAAAATAAATAAAAATTCTAACCACATAATCCTGACCAAATGTAACCTAATTCAACCTAATCCCTACCTAAGAGCCTAATTCAGCCTAACAAAATAAACACAAGGTTAATATTGACGAGATAGCCGCTGACATTTGTTTTGATGTTCCTTTTCTTACAACATTTTCATCAGTGGGTTTTGATACAATATTCATTTCTTGGGAAAATGCTTTGTTTGGTAGATAATTAGGCCCCTAGGAGTGCAATACTGCTTTATTTTTCTCGGCAGTGATGCCACAACCCGTTGTAAACAGCCAATCATATTGATGACAAAACACTCTGCTGTGCTCTGCTATGCCAATTCCACATGTCATGTGATGGGTGTCACCAGTCTTATGAATATTTTTTTGTGAATTCAAGGGAAAAGAGGAATTGGTTCCAGTGTAATAAAAAAAAAAAACAGGTCGATAAGAAACACAAGCTGCTGAACCGTTGTGGCTACAGCAAGGCCATGGCAAGTGTTAAAATTATAAATAACCAATTTTTAACACATTTGCCCAAACTATGAGTGTCCACTATAAAACAGTGAAATTATGGCATTTTTGAAGCCCTTTTCTATGAAATGTAATCCTTACCAAACTTAAATCTAGGTTAACCTAACTTAATTCAACACACCTTAATTTACAGAACCTACAAAACAAAGACTATGGTGACCCCCCCCCCCTTCCCCTGGCAGTTGAAGCACCGACGACATCATGACCCAAGTTTGATAATAGGTTTGGTTCGCCAGCGATACTGATTTTCCTTTTCTTTGTTAATACACAACAGTTTGTTTCGGGGAAAATCAAGGCCGGTAGAGCAACAGCAAGTGTTATTTAATGAGCAGGTGTTGGGTGGAGTTGACCAGGGTGTGCACACTACTATAACTCTTGTCTATAACAGGTGTGTGAGCACTGCCCTGCATTCACCTAACCTAACTGCAGTGGTTGCTGCCTTTACCACATACACACACACACACACATAAGGAGTGGGACTTGCCAGGAGACCGTCCCACTTAAAAGTAATTTCTTGTAGTAATTTTTTGTCCCGTTGTGATCAGCAAAATGTCTGGGTCCGTTGTTAATTGATGTCTACCTTGGTTTCACTTCTTCCATAAAAGTGGGATGAGTTATACACAACGTTTGTGTATATATTTACAGTGTATTATATATACATATATATATTACTTATATACAACTGTAGAGAAGGAGGCTGGCCCCGTAATCTAGGACTGAGGTGGTCTCGGAGTTAGATGTTCAACTGAGGTGGTCTCAGTGGCAGATGTGTGTTATGCGGGGTCCAGCAATAGACTAACTCAGGCCCCACGGAGGCCTCGCCCGGGGGGTGTAATTCACACAGGCCCCGCCAGAGTGATCCATGAGTCAAACTTCTAGAAGGTTCTCCAAGGAGGAAAACCTCACCTCGTTGGAATGTACTGCCTACAACAAGTCAGCAGTGTTGTGGTTAAATTTTTTAAATAACCGGTTGGAAATGATCTCCTTGACCCATGAATCATTCTTAACTGACAGTGCCACTCTCTATACAGTATATGTTAAATTATATAACTACATCAAACACTTTGGGATTGCAAGCGTGAAGCAAAGTAACTAATTACCAAATTTGAGCAATCGAGTCAGTTTTTACAAGGCTCCCTACTTCCTCAGAGGGGGTTGCATCATACTGCGACACTATGTATTCATAACACCCAGCCAGTCAGCTTCACTAAAAAGCCAGCAGCTATGTCTATGCCAAATGCTATAACCTATGAACAAACTCTAACCTCTGCAGGTCAATTAATAATGAATGTTCATAATTATACTCCCTGTACATCCATGGTCGTAAGTTATTAATTATACTGCAAATTATACAGTACCCTGTACAGTGATCCCTCGGTTAACGAGATTTTGGTGAACGATTTACCTTCCATAAGATTCTTAACTTCGATTAACGAGTTTTTAACGAGCCGACCTCAACATGTTTTCGCTTGCATTTGGCGGTCCACCAGCAGTAGTATTAGTCCACCAATACAGTAATTGGTTCTAGGGCTTAAATTCCTTACTGTTTTAGTAAATATCAAGAAGTTTATACTATTCAATAATTTTAAAAGTTTTATATTATATTTTTTAGTCATTTTAACAATTATTGAACATAATTGAAGTATTGGAAGCTAGTTTTTTGCACGCTAAACAGCCTGTCAACACACCATACAGGCGTCAGTCTCTGTGTCTTTTCAGTGGAGGTAACATCTTGCTTCAGACTCTCTTCAACTAAATGCTCTTTTTCTGTGTTTCCAAGCAAAGTATTGGTCAATTTGAAATTTATTTTACATATTGACAATATATAATGCAGTGCAGTGTTGATTTAAAGAAAATAATCTTGAATTACACCAAGAGAACTAAAATTTTATTGGTGAAATGGTGCCATGGGGTGACCTCTCTTCCACCCCAATGCCTTCTCTTCTCCCTTCTCCTCCACCCCCATTCTAATTCCCATCATCATCATCATCATCATCATCCAGGAGCCTTCTACATACACACCTCAAAGTAAGTGTACTTTTCTACCTTTTTTGTTGATTTTAGGCAATTTTCGGTGAGCTGGAACGAATTACCCAAAAACCCATTGAAACAATGGTTTCGGTTAACGAGTTTTTCGGTTAACGAGCAACCTGCTGGAACGGATTGTGCTCGTTAACCGAGGGACCACTGTAGTAGGAACCTGCACATTATTTTTACACTTTGGGTGTCTACAATATGCACACGCAAACGGACTAGATGGCCGTGTCGGATTACCATACCCATGAGCAAGGTTATCACCAGAGGAAGACTTTATATTCTGGCTATTGTTTCCCCCTCTGTCAGACAATGACTTCACCATCAGATAGTAAGAATCGGCTAAACGAGCTGCCTGTAAAAGGTCTTTATCACCACGTTTCTCCATGCGTCTTAACACATTAAAGGGGAGTCTATTCTTCCATCACTACAAAATTAACCATGTCTTCGAAAGTAGTGATGTTGTTTGCCTCAAACCATTTACGAGCTAGCCTCACCTTCTCAAGTGCAAATTCTAGGAAGGTGTGCATAAAAGATTTTAAATAGTTCCTAAACTGTTGCCAATATCCATCAGGGGAAATTGAGTAAGCATCTAAAATACTCCGTTTGACAACCTCATAATCACTTCTATCACTTCAGGCGTTAGATACTCTACTAGCTTTCCCGAGGATTTTAGAAGCTATTGTAGGGGTATCGAGATATTAATGTTGTCTAGCACTCAGGATGGAAGGAAACTCTAATGTGGTTTTCTTGTATATTATAAGTTACATGACAGACAGTCTGGTGCTGGAGGTGCCGTGTGGTGAGGAGCTGGTCAATAGAGACGTTCCGTGAGTAGCTTGTTGAAGGAGGTAGATGTGCAGGAGCTTCGTTAGAGAAGATGTTGCCTGTTGCTGGCCTCCTGGTTGAATGAAATGTTAACAGCGTGGAGCTTGCTGGAGGAGATGTTGCTTGTTCAGGAAAATGGGCAGAATGAGAGTTGGTTGGTGAGGAAGCTCAGGGAAGGACAGCTGGTGGGTCGCCATGCTCGCCGGCGGGAGCGAGGACCGCCAGGCAGGCGAGGAGGAGCTAAGGCAGCCAGGCAGCGGCGGAGGAGGAGGTGTTGCTAGTTCAAGAAGAATGGTCAGAATGAATCTCAATGGAGAGACAGAGCTTATATACCCAGCAGCCGCTATGAGTCATGTTGGGAAAACCCGAGAAGTCGCCGGTGAATAGTTTCGTTGCTAGGCAACGGCACGTTGGAATGTGATAGCAGG